CAACTCCAGCCAAGGACAGATTAGTGAGAGCGATGACATTAAGGAATCGGTGCATCAGGCAACTGGAGTAGGATTACATGCACGGACGATGGGAAATCGTCAGCACAGATGGCATTTGCGTGCAACTTACTGCACGTCATTTGATTGGTTGGTTTGTTGTTTAACGCCGAACACAGCAATATTCCAGCAATTATATGACGGCGGTCTGTAAATAATCGAGTCTGGACCAGACAATCCAGTGATTGATATCATGAGCATCGATCCACGCAATTGGGATTGGTGACATGCATCAACCAAGTCAGCGAATCTGACCACCCGATCCCGTTAGTTGCCTTATATTTCGTCAAGCATGGGTAGCTGAAGACCTATTCCACCCCGGAATCTTCACGGGCATCTAATATGCTGATATACATGTACCTAACATATATGCACACAGCGTGATTTAATATAAATTCCGTGCCATGTCTAAGTTAGATGACAGGAAATACTAAAGGTTCTTGATTGGCATCTGCAACAGAGTAGTGGTATATTTGAACTTTTACAATGGCATGTCTATCTCTGTTGTTTTCCAGTGATCCATTCATATAATTTTAGTACTTGTTTTCAGCAACCCATACTTGTAGTCAGGCGACTAACGGGATGCATGTCATCGTATCCCATTTGCGTGATCGATGCTCACAATGTCAAGCACAGAGTTGTCTACGGCGTTGAAAAACAAACAAAAATGTTTCAATGGCCTTAAATATTGATGTCACCCTATTGGGAGTCCGAAGTTTGTTTGTTTGTTTTGTTTGTTGTTTAACGCCGCACTCAGCAATATTCCAGAGGCTGGACCAGACAATCCAATGATTGATTTCATGAGCATCGATCCACGCAATTGGGATCAATGACAAGCATCACCCAACTCAGCGAGCCTGACCACCCGATCCCGGGGAGTCTGAAGTAGGCGTTGTCTCCTGTGTAACCTGTGCTTGTCGTAAGAGGCGACTTACTTGGATTGGTTGGTCGGACTCGGTGGCTTGGTTTATTGCGTGTACCAGTACCCCGAGTGTGTTAATATTTGCTGGTGCCGTGGCACCCGAGAGCAAGTGTACCCAAAACACCTTTTTAATTACAATTGATATATAATATGTGTTTATTATTCTGTTATCAAATAAATGTCTTTGTTAATATGTACCTCATAGTTTGAGTTCTGTGTGTGCACTAAATGCATGGGTATGGTGTTAGACGCTTCGCGGCGGAGGACTGCAGGAATGGGCTTCATACGAAACATTAGCCAGATGTAAGGAATCAAACTCGGCCGTTTAGGCGTGACGTGTCAACACTTAATGAGACACTGGGCTACCTTACTGCTATTATGGACATATTTCCTTCACACATAAAATATTACCGTGCACGGTAAAATCTGTCGAGACATGACAATACTTCTTTGAATCTTGTTAGGGATTCGTGCCTGCAAGGCAGAAGACCTATTGTAATTGCTGGGAGTATTATTATTTATTATTCCGCCGTTTTTTGTACCAGATCTACAAAAACTACCACTGGCAAGAATCGCTCCAATATCAACAGCAACATGGACACCAATGTGAAGCAGATACCAGCAAAAACCCAAGGCCAAAGGCCCAATGGCTAAGGGCAGATAACTCATCAAAGTTTCAACTTCAGCAGCAATAATCTTCGACACTAATTGTCCAATGACTTCCAGATTTGCCATGCGGCAGCGCAATCAGATGCCCATCATTTTGTACAGCATGACCATGGTAGCTACAACGCACCGTTTGGGAGCCACATTGGATTGAAGCTTTTCGACATGCATTTTAGCATCTAAGCAATGCGACAGGTCCCTGAGATCCTGACAAACTCAGAACACTAATCCGTTTGATTCTAGCGCCAGGGACAACGAAGGGACAGCGTGTTAAAGAGGGAACTCTTTGGCCCCTGTCATAAACTTGACATATAGCAGAATTCCAAACACGTGTAACTCCGAAACAACTGGTCCGATTTCGCCCAGATTTCGTGTGTGTTTGTAGACTATAGGCTTGTCCATAGTCATGCCTAATTGTAGCCACATCGCCTTGAAGGCAGCGAAGAGAAAAATGAAACAGAATTCATCTATAACAACATATTTTAACCTATTGTACCTCACCAGATCATCCAATAACTGTCAGACTAGGCACTCTTTAGTAATATGCAACTCGATATTGAAATGCATTCACAAAATCCCAAGTAACACATACACCAAACTGTGATTTGACTGTGAAAATGTCATTTTGTGGGAAAAACAATGAGATTTTACGACACTTCAAACTTGTTCAGTTCAGACACTGAAAGAAGTGTATCTCTCTTCTCTACACGCAACAGCATTGCCCGTAGGCCTGTGGTATATGTGCGATTGTGTTAATCCGCTATGGACTACAGAAATCAGTTGTCAGGGTCAGTGAGATGCAGCGTATATACAGCTGATGGACAACGCAGGAAGAAACGGACTATAGAAATAGGTTTACGAGTGGGTTTGTATCTTCAACGGTTCTGCATAGAAAACAGTGCAACTTGGTATAATATATCGACATCGCACTTTGTGTTAGCGGTGCATGTGGAAGCTCATATCGGCATTGGCGCGAATTCACAATACACACTGTCAATAGAGTTAAGCAAACGAATAATTGCCCATGCATGTTTATTGACCTTTCAGCGTGTCAGCTGGCCTTAGTCCCATGAGAATGTGTCAGTCGAGTGCATATTGGAACGTTAGCCACGGTAAAGGTATAGCGAGACAGCGGTAGCGCAGAATTTTATTCTCCAACAAACTGCTCGAACCGTAACACACACACGCACCCCACCCCCACTCCACCCCCCATATACGAGAGCAACACAGTTCCACCTTCGGATATGAACGGCACATAGTAACGAATTTATTATTATGTTTTCGATACAACCAAACTAAATCCAAACATATTCTCAACTTATTAAACTTATATTACACTTGCTAGAATGGTACGTAATGCCTGAGAATGTATATGCATTTCGCGACTCTGTCAGACCTGGCGTACATTCAAAGCAGGCATCTATTCAAGAATTTACGGTAGGCGAGTCTCTGGGCCAACTAAATGTGATCTGACTTTCACTCAATACGGGTGCAGGGGGTAAGGCGCTGGACACTCTTACCCTGCACCGAGTGTGATCACTGCATGTTTAAAGTGTTTCGTGAGTGTAGCGGCTGTGGATAGGTTAAATGTTCGTTTTTTTAGTTTGTTTGTCGTTTAACGGCGCACTCAGAAATGTTCCAGCTATATGACGGCGGTCTGTAAATAATCGAATCTGGACCAGACAATCCAATGATTGACATCATGAACATTGATCCACTTAATTGGGATACAATGACATGCATCAACCAAGTCAGAGAGTCTGACCACCCGATCCCGTTAGCCGCCTCTTAAGGGTTAAGATTTTGTTGTTGTTGTTTAACGCCGCACTCAGCAATATTCCAGCTATATTATGGCGGTCTGTAAATAATCGAATCTGGACCAAATATTCCAGTGATTGGAAACATGAGCATCGATCCAAGCAATTGGGATAGGATGATCTGCATCAACCATGTCAGCGAGCCTAACCACCCGTAACGGTTAAGAGTGCTGGCTCGTCGCTCTGACGACAAGGGGTCAATTCTCCATGAAAACCATGTGTAAAACCCTTTTGCTAGTTTTACCGACCGTGTTAAGTGAGGCTGGAATTCTTCTAAAAGCGACGTAAAACTTACTACTTACTCCTGAGTATGGATTCTTTTTTAGCGGTTCCTCTATAATTACACGGTTTAAAACAGATACGCAGTTTTATGATGTTATCAGACAGTTATTGGATGCGGGGCTCCTTGTAAGGGTGCGGACCGCCTCCATGGTCTAATGGTAATGCGTCCGCCCGGAGAGCGGAAGGTCCGGGGTTCTATCCCCAGCCGCGTAATACCAAAAGACGTTAAAAGATGGTACTTGTTGTTACCCTGTCTGGCGCTCGACATTTAGGGGCTAAAACAAGGACTGGTCGGCTCGGAGTCAGTAAACTGTGTCAGAGTTGGGTATTCATGTTAAACTGCGGCATGGTATCTCAGTGTGTTAGCACTATAAATCGGCATCAGTCCGGACTAGTACAAGCAGCCACACACACACACACACACACACACACGTGCATGCTCGTCGCTATATAAGTGCAATAATCTTGGACGCGACGTTAAACCCAATTTCACCTCACCTCACCTCACCTCACCTCACCTTGTAAGGGTGCAGTGACTTTGCTTAAACTTAAACTTAATCTAAGTGTTGGGCTCAGTCTGCTCACTTCAAATGCGAAGCCGCCATATGTGACGTAGATGTAACTAAATGCCAATAAGCATTATGGAATCAACCACATAACCAAATCTTTAGCCGGAGGAAGACTTCTATGAAGTGTCACTTGTCTCCTTTCGTAAATAAATTGTGTTTAAAAAAGAACGCTTTTCATTGGCTCTGAGAACTTTTCAGTGAAAAGCGATAGGCCAACATAGCTGTTATCAAAATGCCTTAACTGTACGTGATTAACACAACTGCAAACGAGCAGGTTGTTCTACGTCTTAACAATTAAAGTTTACGCCCACTCGCTCATTCAATGCTCATGTAAATTTATGTACGAGACACTGTTGGTTGGTTGGTTGGTTTGTTGTTTTACGCCGCACTCAGCAATATTCCAGCTATATGACGGCGGTCTGTAAATAATCGAGTCTGGACCAGACAATTCAGTGATTTATATCATGTGCATTGATCCACGCAATTGGGATACGATGACATGCATCAACCAAGTCAGCGAGGCTGACCACCCGATCCCGTTAGTTGCCTTTTGCGACAAGCATAGTCACCTTTTACGGCAAGCATGGGTCGCTGAAGACCTATTCTACCCCGGAATCCTCACGGGTCACGAGACACCGTAGGCTGGGGCGATATTTTATGAGAAAATGCAAACACAAACACAGAAAGTAATGTGCATGTTTTTTTATTCAGGTTACAGATTCAAGAACACGAATTCAAGAACTTGACTTGGTATCCTGCAAAATAAAGAGAGAGAGAGTTTATTCAGTATTGAAGGCCTCGTGGCTAAGAGTACAATTTCTTTCATATAACATGAGTACGATAGTGGCATGTGGATGTATTACGTAATTTCTAAATATAAAAGTGTATATCTCTAAATAAAACTATATCTTTAATACAGATTAACACTTCTGTTTAACGGTAAACTGGCAAATTTCTCTTTAGATAAAGGGCAAAACCTCTTATAACATTAACATTTTTTTAGACATCAAGGAGGCAAATTTCTGTCTTGATGGACAATGATGACAAATAACGAGAATTAAACTATCTCTGCTTTTCTCGTAATATGGGCAAACAAGTGCAAAATGATATTCATCATCTAATTCTAATAAATCACAATTATCACAGAACATTAATTCAGGTTGTATTTACTGTTTGCTAAAGCGCTGTTTTTGTACTTTTAAACCATGTGCTAAACATCGGAATTTCGCTCCAACTCTTATAAGATCCTTATCGAAGCATGAGGTTATATAGAGTTCAGTTTCCAATGGTGATTTATATGACGCATAATGGTTCAAGAACACAGAATTGTTAATCTTTTGACTCCAGTTTTGTACAACAATATCAATACATCTTCTCTTGAATAATTCCATGAAACAATGTATATGCCCACAGTCCTGCGATATCCACGCATAACCAAAACCAGATTCAAACAAAAGCATTCTCACATGAGATGCCCATTTAACACTACCATTAACAGCTTGTACTTTCAGCATTTTATAACAAGCACGTGGAAGTCGATTTGACTTCATGCGTATCAGTCTACACCAATATCTTATACATCGACTGAAATAAATAACACTTAGATGATAACGGCAAACTTCACTAAGAACCGCATTAGATGATGCTTTATTACTGATTGACAAATATCTCTTTAAAAAAAAACTTTGGACTTTTTCTATACTTTCTCTAAATGTAAATCCCCAACGCTTCTTAACTACCATTCACTAAATGCTCCCAAACTTCTAACATGCCATGTACTTCCTATCCGAACACATTATTTCCAGATCGTGATCTTATTAAGACAACTTCGTGAGCGCAACAGAAACTGGAACGGAAGCAACCGTGTTTCGTAATAGCATCAAAGATGACCTTGACCTTGGAAAGATACATGGTCGTTATGACTTGACCTGTAATGGAATGTCCTCAGATCTTTGGGCAGCTTTAATTAGAGTGGGTTGCCTGGGAGCTATTCAAATCTGGACTCCCAAGGGGGCCGCCAGCAAGTACCAATGTGGACACTCCTTTTGCCATGCCAGAAACCCAACGAGGTGGGTTCTATTCTCTGAAGGTCCTCGTTGTGCTTCTGGGTGTCACAACACCATGCCCATGAACGTGTTGTTTTCACTAATGTGGTAAATGTCGGAGACCTGTATCACCTCGGGCTAATATGTCGCGATATAACTGACACAGTATTCGAAACAGCAGTAAAAGAAAACTCACTTACTCGGGTTTACACTGAAGAGCATGCCTGTCCTAGTTCCCCTCCTTCGCGGCTTCCAATTCGTTGCAGTATTTAATGTGACTAGCTGCCAACTGCAAAAGGGTCAAAGACAAATATTAATCTGGAATATTCCCAGGATCGGGTCATATTAAAAACAATAATTTTATTTCCTTTGTTTGTTGTTTAACTTCACAATCAGCAATATTCCCGCTGCAAGTCTTGCCTGATTGTTGGGCGCGGTATTAATAAAATAATGAATAAATTAATTAACCAGTAAATATAAATACTATTTATAGACTTTTATTACCCAATATTATGGACCTTCGGTTCAGGTAAACTGCCACCCAAGGCATTTTACCCCTAAAAGGCGCTAACAGACATTAGACGAGTGCACAACCTTGACGTGAACCTACTATTTGCAGAACAGTTTCCATTGCTGCTTCGGTGTTTGTCTCGTCCTGAAAAGGAAAAGAAGAGGGGTGTAATGAAAATCCAATTCCCATCTAGTATAACCTACTAACATATGATAGGCTTTACATTAATGTTTCTGTTCTGTTGGAATAAATAGTTAGGACATAAAAACAAAAAACAAATCCATACATAATATTCTTCCCATAAATGTCCCTACAGCTTTCTTCAAAATTTAATATAATACTTCTTTGTGTTTCTTTGTTGTCTATTTGAACGTGGCACCCAGTAAGATATAGCGATCACTTTCAGAGAGCGGCCTGATGAGTTCTACAACCTATTGCTAGAGTCCCATCTGATAGGTACCCGGAGAAAGGAGTTTAGGAAATTGTTAGTTTATTAATTGTTGTGCGACACACTCACCAACATTCCAACCACAAAGATTTGAAAAATTAGCAGCTACAATATATATAGCCAATACCAGTACCATAGTACAAGGGATGTACTGAGGTCAACATACCAAGTTATGCGAGGACGAATTCATCAATGTTCACTATATATACCTGTGTAAAACTATACACTAATCTCAAGTCAATCTCAAGCATGTGTTTACCATTTTTTTCTTAAACCCATCCTCATGGGAAATACAAATGCAATTTTCAAAACGCGTAATTAAGCTCAAACCGTTCAGTTTAATGAAGTCCTGTTGCAAGGTAGTCCAGAAAGTATCAACGTGTTGGCAGACATGCTAAAAGCTTGTGTACTCACGTATTCTAAAAAAAAAGATACAACAATTACATAAATATGTGTATATTTAGACATTTTCTAAGTATAAACACTGAAATCAGTGATGGGTAAGGTGAGGTGAGGTGACTTATACTCCGAGCCGACCAGTCCTTGTTTTAGCCCCTTAATGCCGAGCGTCAGACAGGGTAACAACAAGTACCATCTTTTAACGTCTTTTGGTATGACGCGGCCGGGATCGAACCTCGGACCTTCCGCTCTCCGGGCGGACGCTCTACCACTAGACCACGGATAATAACAAACACACCCGCAGACGAGGACGAGTTTGTTCATTTTATTTTTTTTATTACACGGTCCTGTGGTTCAAGGTGAGGTGAAATTGGGTTTAACGTCCCGCCCAAGACTATTGCACTTCAATAGCGGCGTGCATGCACCTGTGTGTATGGCTACTTGTACTACTCCGGACTGATGCCGATTTATAGTGCTAGCCCACTGAGATAACATGCCGCGGTTTAACATGAATACCCTACTCAGACACAGTATACTGACTCCGAGCCGACCAGTCCTTGTTTTAGCCACTTAATGCCTAGCGCCAGACAGGGTAACAACAAGTACCTTCCGCTCTCCGCGAGGACGCTCTACCCCTAGACCACGGAGTCGGTCTTGTTATAAGAGAGTATATTCGCTATTTATTAAAGTCTGAATTATATGTTTATCAGTGGTTATAGTAAATCTTTACGTCCGTATATAAAGCATTCAAATATAAAAATCGAATCTTGACCAGACAATCCAGTGAATGTTTTTTGTAAGCAACGATCAGTTCGTTTTACTATAACGATCAACCAAGTCCCAGAGTCTGACCAACCTATCCATTCAGCCGCCTCGTACGACCTGTATATGTTGCTATAACAATTCTAACACCGAATTGGTGGTTATATCATCCAATACAGAAAACACGTTACAAACAAGTGCATTTATATACCCCTGGGAAAAGGTTAGGCACAGCTTTGTAGATTTTACCAAATAATATAGTACTTTTTGAAATCGTATCCTTTTTAAATATTAAGACAAAACACATTTACTTTTGTTTACAAGGTTACATACCAATACTGAAATGCAGAAACCAAAATCGATTCTCTGACAACATGTATTGTAAATGATCCACGACAATAGTTATTTAACGACTCTTTCATTTGCTTATTGTCTGTCTTTGTTTCCTATGATATGATCCCAATATTAATTTTCGCATGTCCAGAGACATACATTCTCCTACCAACTGCACCAGGTATCCATGGTACGGATCAAAATGAGATCAATGTGACATGTAGATATATCCCAAATATATATGGAAGTTCTGGGTAAATGAAAATAAAAGATCGGTGGCGCTTAATTTAATTTGTTTCCAGACGTAAAATATATAATGTATAATCCTTACTTCCGAGTGCGTTCACTGCATCCGCCAGTGTCTCTTCTGCCTTGGAATACTGCAACAGAGTGGGGTCGTTTAAATCATTGATGTATCGACGTTGACGACCCAACACTACTTTTGTCATCGACAATTTCAAAAGAGAAGTTTAAATAATCATGCGATGTAATTCTGAATCAAAACTTATAAAACAATGCCAACGCCTTTAAATTATCGTCAAGTGATATTGTTTAGGGCTTAGCAAAGTGTAGTAAAATAACCCAAATGTCATTATAAAATTAAACTGATACGTTTCCATCTACAAGAGATGTTTTGTTTGTTTGTTTGTTTGTGTGTTGTTTAACGCCGCCCTCAGCAATATTCCAGCTATATGACAGCTGTCTGTAAATAATCGAGTCTGGACCAGACAATCCAGTGATTGACATCATGAGTACTGATCCATGCAATTGGGATACGATGACATGCATCAAGCAAGTCAGCGAGCGTGACCTCCCGATCCCGTTAGTCGCCTCTTACGACAAGCATAGCTGCCCTTTTAACGCCACACTGAAATTTAGCAATATTCTAGCTATATGACGGTTGCTTGTGAATGAACAAGACACACTTGTAGTTGCTACCATGAACAACGACCCACAGCGTTGAGTATATTATTGACTCACAACAAACAATTCACCAAACCTGGTCAATTGAAAGGCCTCGTACCGACCAGTATACGATGTTTGGGACATATTCTAACCCAGAATACCATCTAGGGTTCAAATGTAAACGCAGTCTGTTTTAAGTTAAGAGTAAGATTGCACTATTATGGTTACTTTTGCATGTATTGACGGAAAACATAGAACACGACTACGAATCGAGCAATGAGTGAGTGAGTGAGTATGAATTTACGCCGTTTTTAGCAATATTTCAGCAATATCACTGCGGGGGACACCAGAAATTGGCTTCACACATTGTACCCATGTCGTGAATCGAACCCGGGTCTTCAGCGTGACGAGCGAACGCTTTAACCACTAGGCTACCCGCTCGAGCAAAGCGTGTACATGGCGTATGCATACAATGTGCATGTATAGGGACGAATAGTAATACGTATATTTCCTGAAGGATAAACATATAAAATTAACAGCCTTAAAACTAATCTGAACTATAAGACACACGTGTACTGGCAAAATAATATCACGTGTACTTACGCCCATGTCAAGAACTGTTGTGCAAAAGTGGTCGAGAGCAAACGCCGACTGAAAAATAGTGCATAAATCTTATTAATGTGAAACTACTGCAATGCTTTCACATATACATTTTAATCGGAAAGACAAATACCAGGTTTCATTAAACTCGGTCCGATATGTTGTCAAAAAAGATGAATCTAGTAAACATGTAATTTGCATCCTAAACTCGCGGAAGGGCAATTGCCTTGATTTTGTTTGTTTTTTGTTTGGTTTGTTGTTTTACGCCACACTCAGCAATATTCCAGCTATATGACGGCGGTCTGTAAATAATCGAGTCTGGACAAGACAATCCAGTGATTAATATCATGAGCATCGATCCCCACAAGTGGGATTGATGACATGCATCAACCAAGTCAGCGAGCCTGACCACCCGATCCCGTTAGTTGCCTTTTACGACAAGCATAGTCACCTTTTACGGCAAGCATGGGTTGCTAAAGACCCATTCTACCCCGGAATCTTCACGGGTCGCAAATGCCTTGATCCTACCTTGCCCGTCTTGGCCTGTAAAGCATCTTCCTCCCCAGATGGCGCCTACAAACACAGAGGGAATTGTTTGCAGCTACACCGTTTACAGTCAATTTATGGAAAATAATAGAATATAAGTTCTACATTTTTTGGTAAAGATTAAGCTATATAATTAAAAGATCCGAATGTTCTGAAAAACTGTCAGATTTACATGCGAGTAAGCAAATTTAAATGTAAAAAAAACGACCAGAGTGAGTTGTTTATCTTACAATAAAACACTACAGGGAGAATAAACCACGAGGGGTGTTTTTGTATACGATAACTAACGACGACGAGTCGTGTATTTCGCATATCAGATGTTAACATTATGGACAGCCTCTTTGAGGATGTTGATAAATTTTACAAGCTTTAAAAAATATTTTCCCGTATTTAATGATGGTGATTCCCCGAATACAATCCGATGGCGGCAATGTCGGACAAGTCAGGATGGTTAAGTTTAGTATTTTCTGAATATTCTCACGAACCCAAAACAATTGACGACCACTATGGGTACATTTTCTCCCATTACAGATTGCCATACCTCGCATACTTTTTGATTCGATTGTTAGGTCATTACGTTTATCTGCCTTGTCCAACTACCTCTAAGGGGAACAATTCACTACCCTCTACAAAATAGCGTCGTCCAATTTTCGACGTCATCGAGTTGCGACCGTATGATCGAAGCTCCAGATATGACGTCAATCGTGAAATAAACCACGCCTCCTTCTTCATTGTTTTTTGCGATTAATGGCGTTGCTAGCTTTTAAACTGACGTCCAAAAGAAACTTTACCAACTGAAAATATAAATTTCTGACAAAGTATACATTATTTTTCGATGAAGTCTATCTATAACTCATGACCTAAATACAACAATGGTGTATGCAGAAAATGTTAATCGTCTGTTACATGTTTGCGAGATAACACGCGAAAAAGTGAAAAACACGTGCACCACGGACAACTGCAAATGCACGTGCGGGTAAGGGTATAAAACGATTGCAACGGCAAGTCAGACATTCCGGAGTGATAAAAAACACAAAAGAAATGCCACGACTGACAGTCGAACAACGTGAACGAGCCTTGGGTGTTGTACAGATGGGAGCCACCCACGCCCATATTGCACGAACCTTCAGTTGCTCCCGTGTTGCCGTTACCAACTTGATGCAACGTTACAGACAGACAGGGCGGACCGCTGACAGGCCAAGAACAGGCAGACCCAGGGTGACCACGCCCTATGATGACCGGTACTTGCGTACCATGCACCTCCGAAATCGCTTACTGACAGTGACGTCATCGGCGACAAATGCCTTAGGTCACAGGGTTTGTCGACAAACAGTGGAGACTCAGGGCTCAGGGAATCAGGGCTTTTAGACCATACAGAGGACAGCTATTGACAGCGCAACATCGTCGTCTGCGATTGAGATGGGCCCGGACTGTACGACGTTGGCAACGACGTGACTGGCAGAGGGTTGTCTTCACTGACGAAAGTCTATTCTGTATGTTTAGGGCTGATGGAAGACAACGTGTTTACCGCCGAAAGGGTGAACGAACGGCGGCGTGTTACGTGCAGGAGGTCGTACCATATGGTGGAGGGAGTGTCATGGTGTGGGGAGGGATCTGTGGGCAGGAGAGGACACCGCTGGTCATCGTTGACGGAAACTTGACAGCTCAGTGTTACATGGATAACATTCTTCGTCCAATTGTCCTACCATTTTTCAAACAGCAGCCACGTGGTGTCATTTATCAGCATGACAACGCTAGAGCCCATACAGCCAGAATTGTCACTAACTTCCTCGCAGCCAACAACGTCAACGACCTGCCGTGGCCTGCACGCTCACCCGACATGTCCCCCATAGAACACCTCTGGGACTTGATGGATCGTCGTGTTCGACAACGACCACACTCTCCAGCCAACCGGCAAAAACTGATCTTGGCCCTCCAAGAAGAATGGCGTCAAATCCCAAATCGACTTTTTCGGTGCGTCGAAGAGTTTTTGTGTGTATTGAGGCATTTGGTGGTCACACACGCTACTAATGACTTGTTATTGAACGTGAGCGATTGTTTATGTACTCTGCCTATTGTCCATGATTCTGAAAGCTCGAGTTTTGTACCACACCCAATTTTGGGGGGCTCTGACGTCATTCTCGGTCGCGGTATGATTGTCATTTTCAGTGTTGATTATGTTGATATATTGATCTTCTCAATACACTTTACTTCATGCATGTATGTTTTGTTCTTTTGGAACAAGAGTGATTTCAAACTCTGGTAAAGTTTCTTTTGGACGTCAGTTTATTAAGAAAATAAAAGAAATAAAATGTATCATAATATAAATAGAACAGGCGATGACAGTCAGTTACATTTTGCTACAAACCATTGTTGCTTCTCCGATGAGAAAGGCGAACGCCACAGCCATATAAATTGCACTGAAATTCATTGTTCACGGTCTTGATTTTGGTCACTGAAAAAAAAACACTCACATTTTATGTCCAGGTTTACGCAGTATGATAAGTGCAGTTCATTATTACATAATTTTAAAAACATAACATGTTATTCACAACATTCTATTCTAATTACACGAATTTAATGTTATGCAGGCAGCAGTGTTTCAGCTAGATTGTTAAACTGTTTCAATGTTTTTTATACAACAGGCGATGCAATACCAACAGTAAAAGGGCAAAATATTGTTTATATGTGCAAATAAAGGGTTTCACGAACCTGAATAAACAAACAAAGAAACACACACACAACAAAAGCATGAAGAGCACGGCGTATAACATGAATTAGATTTATAGATACGCACGTTCTGTTGTACTTATATTGATTACATCTACTACCTACAAACCTGCACATGCAACCATTCCTTGCACTAAACAGTGCTGTGCCCATGTGTGTCGTATGCTTTAGGTGCTTGACATTATTTGTTCTTTGACTTTGGTCATTGGTCACGTGGTTTGGCAGCCATATTGGATTCAAGGTTTACACAGTGTCTTTTGGGTAGTCTTCAAATGCAAACAACTTTGAGTCCACTGCATGAAATGCTTTCAAACTTTCTGAGAATTGTCTCCATACAGAACACAACAAATTGTAATAGCCGTTTTTTGGATATCCTTTAGTTGCGTCAATATTTGATTTTGATTTTGATCATTTTTTTTCACCGAAATTATACTTTAAAGATCATGTCTTGTCAGGTTCTCCACAGAAACTATTGATAGTTTTACATGAAGCTTGTGTGCCATATGTACCTCTTTTTTTGTTCTTTGACTTTGGTCATTAGTCACGTGGTTTGGCAGCCATATTGGATTCAAGTTTTTTTCAGTGTCTTTTGGGCACCTGTCTTCAAACGCAAACAACTCCGTGTCAACTGCATGAAATGCTTCCACACTTTCTGGGAATTGTCTCCACACACAACACGGCAAACTCTAATAGCCGTTTTTTGGATATCTGTTTTAGTTGCGGTTGTATTGGATTTTGATTTTGATCATTTTTTCACCGAAATTTTACTTTATAGATCATATCTTGTTAGTTTGTTGACAGAAACTATTGCAAGTTTATATGAGTCAGTGAGTTGGGTTTAACGCCGCTTTTAACAGTATTCCAGTTATATCACGGTGAGTCAGCTTAATGTGGGAGGAAAGCCCGAAGTGATGCAGGTCTCAGACGTTTATCGCTTCGGTGAAACCCACGAGCACGGGTATGGTGCTGACAAACCTAGAAACATAATCGGGGCGAACCGGGATTCAAACCCAAAATTATAGGTTTCTGGCGTGCCCAAGGGACGACTGGGCCACCCGTGCCCCCGCAAGTTTACATGAAGTTAGTATGTCATATGGATCTTATTTTCTGTTCTTGGGTGCACAGAAAAAGTAACAACACTTGGTGGTAATATTTGATAAATATTTGGGACACCCCTGGAACACGTCAATTTCGTAGCGGTGATGTCCTGCAAACGGTGACTATGTTTTGACAGAGTTGGTACAAACAAACCCTTTGAGGATTCGAACATGTTCAATGTCGGAAATAGGTTTTGAACAGACTAAGCACACGTCAATTTCGTAGCGGCGATACCCTGCAAGTTGTGCCTACATATGACGGATTAGGTACAAGGAAACCCTTTGAGGATTCGAACATGGAAAAGCCACGCCCTTACAAATGCGTGGGACCAAGGGGTGGTGATAGAAATATACATACATAATATATCTAATCTATATACAGGGAAATTACTGACACGCACATATATAAATGATGTCAAGAACGTTCTGACGCGCATGTAGAAATAAATCAAACGTCATTTATAGTTTAATACCCAGTTAAACACAAAAGAAAGAATACAAATGACGTTTGATATATTTCTACATGCGCGTCAGTATTTCTTCACATCAGACTTTTGAAGAATCTTTGATTTGATAAACGTTATAGCATCTATAAAACGCATCTTCAAGAGATTCGTATTCATCATTGCATACAGTACAGTGATCGTTTTCTCTTTTTTTTCCAATTTAATATAAACATTACCACAATGGCTACAATTCGGTGTAACATTATATGAGGGAGATTTTATGTATTACTATCTACGGAACATTTACGATTTATGTCGAAGCATTTTTGAAGATACTTGTGTATTACCATGGTGTTTAATTTAAGTATTTAGGGACTTCACAAGGTCAGAAAGTAACTTACAAATGGTAATTTCTTTGTTCTTCCGTTTTATTGTACCACTGTATTATGAAGTGAGTGAGTGAGTTGGGTTTAACGCGTGTATATATATATCACGGCGTGTCAGCTTAATGTGGGAGGAAAGCCCGAAGTGATGCAGGTCTCAGACGTTTACCACTTCGGTGAAACCCACGAGCACGGGTATGGTGCTGACAAACCTAGAAAAATAATCGGGGCGAACCGGGATTCGAACCCACAATCATAGGTTTCTGGCGTGCCTAAGGGACGCAACTCTGCACAGCGAATCGCGGCGCCTTAGACGACTGGGACACCCGTGCACCCTGTATTATGAAGATTTATCCAATAATTTGGAATGGAATGAATAAGTTTCAAATAGAGTTTGAAATTGAGACGACATGTTCCAGTTAGGCTAAACTCGTCTTTAAAACATCAAATTACTTTAAATATCAATATCAAAAGACGAATTATGTGTTGGTAATGCTGTTATCTCTACATTAACAATCACGAAAGAAAACTAACCCATGTATTACACCACTGTGCCCTAGCTTGTTCTATTATTCCAACAGTCCAAACTCGAGACTCAACAACATGTCCGATTACACTGGTCCTGACTGACCCTAGCGGAATTCCGCCAGGCCTCCACGCGACACTCATACCGTAGTCTGTACCCTAGTCCTGCGTCATGACTGTGGAATTTATATTTTTTAGATATTCACTTTGACTAAAAGCCTAGGCAAGTCTAGATCAAACTCGCCATGTCTAGTTTAGTTGATTCCAACACAGCTGAAGAGCAAAGGTTCTTTCACAAAAAGATATAATTATTTTAAATAAATCTTCTCATTGATTAGGTGTTAGTCTATCTGTCTAGATTGCCTAAGTTCTGGTCCTGAAATCAAGGGCTCCATTTTGATTTAGTTGAGTAGATTTATAATTCTAACTACAAAAGATGTATTTCTGGGATATTGATTGATTTTCGATGTGGGTATTTAAAGATCACAAAATAATATTAAATATATGAAATTTATGATGTAGTTAAGGTATATGCACTTGTAAAAACCTGTATTTTGTAGTCAATCAAAGAAGACATTCAACACCTTACATTATATATTGTTTTAAAATGTCTCGCTTCATGAACACGTTCCTGATTTCAATATTGTATTCAATTCCACACATGACTACACAACTTTTATATATTTTACATGTATAAGACGGCTACATGGGCAAGTATAACCGCAAACACAAACTTGTGGTTGTTGAAGATTTTTGTGTGTTAAAACACGTGTTATTGTAAAGGGAAATATAAACATTTAGTCTGTTCAGGTAACGAATTCTAACTATTGTTTCCTGAATTAAATATTATTTAAAACACATTAGCCTACCTCTTGCTGCAATGTGTGGCCCAATCAGTCAAATAGTCATGTCAACGAAAACCCAGACACTTCAGGCATACACATCTTATTGAATGTAATGTGACAACAGATGTTGTTATCAACCAATAGTTACATTTTCCTTGTGTTCATTGAAATTCCTGCATTCTGATTAGCTGAATTGGTCACGTCTTATTGCATTCATTCCCCAATGAATGTTAAAACGTAAGCCGTGCCCACCGAAGCGGACTGCTTTTATTACTTCGGAATGTCGGGGAATCCTAATATTACATGCGAGGGAATTCCCTTTCTGCTCACGTGTATCGCCATGCAGTGGGCATTTAGCGAAATTCATTCATATTCCTTGTCCATACAACCCGTGAGACCGAAGGCCGAGAAGGAATGAAACATCATATGTGCAGACTCGCTCGCCTGTTTTTGTCCCACTCGCCTCGGTGCCACAACTTTCATTTCTTCGGGTTTCATTTCTAACTGGCATTTTTCCAACTAGGACTTCCCGTTCTCAGGGAACTAATGTTCGAATCTGGCGGTAACTGACTATGTCATTTGAAACAGCCGCCTTCTCCCGGACCTATTTGTTCCGGCTCGTTGCAGTCTGACTGTTGCAGTTCTTCTCACCTCTTTCCTTGATTGACAGGTCCTATGAACTTTGTTTTAATCCTACTCTCCGTTGATTGGCTACTCACTGTGTGGGCGTGTCATGATATGTGCATAAATTAAACAATCACCTGATTTATGTCACAGCACAGTATGTATTCCTCCCCCGGGAATGTTTATCAATCTCGTCATTTTTGTCTGCTTTTACAAAAACAACTGTTTTTGGTTAAACTGTTATATGTTTTCGTTGTCGAATTTAATTAAAGGCATTGACTATGTATTATTTTCGGTTCATTGAGGTATGCAAACTTTTGTAAAAATCCGCTACGCGGATGAACCGAAAAAAATACACAGTCAATCCTTAAATACTCATGTTGTATACAACAAAAGACATATGAAACATCAATATCTGGTAATAACCATTTTCGATTTTCTTGTCGCAGGTGAATATATGAAGTTAAATAAGCTATTAGAACTCTTGTATGCCAGCTGGGACCATTCAATATACCATGTAATGAATTCTATTTACACGTTGAACGCATTGACAGAGAGCATTGTTATCTTGAAGTGGTGCGTCACAACTGGAGCTGAAAGGTAAGAGACCAACTAATTGTATGAAGTGACGCATCACAACTGGATCTGAAACATATGAGACCAACTCATTATATGAAGTGGTGCATCACAACTGGAGCTGAAGGTAAGAGACCAACTAATTGTATGAAGTGGCACATCACAACTGGAGCTGAAACCTGAGGGACCAACTCATTACATGAAGAGGTGCATCGCAACTGGATCTGAAACATATGAGACCAACTCATTATATGAAATGGTGCATCACAACTGGAGCTGAAAGGTAAGAGACCAACTAATTGTATGAAGTGGCACATCACAACTGGAGCTTAAACATATGAGACCAACTCATTATATGAAGTGGTGCATCACAACTGGAGCTGAAAGGTAAGAGACCAACTAATTGTATGAAGTGGCACATCACAACTGGAGCTTAAACATATGAGACCAACTCATTATATGAAATGGTGCATCACAACTGGAGCTGAAAGGTAAGAGACCAACTAATTGTATGAAGTGGCACATCACAACTGGATCTGAAACATATGAGACCAACTCATTATATGAAGTGGTGCATCACAACTGGAACTGAAAGGTAAGAGACCAACTAATTGTATGAAGTGGCACATCACAACTGGATCTGAAACATATGAGACCAACTCATTATATGAAGTGGTGCATCACAACTGGAGCTGAAAGGTAAGAGACCAACTAATTGTATGAAGTGGCACATCACAACTGGAGCTGAAACATATGAGACCAACTCATTATATGAAATGGTGCATCACAACTGGAGCTGAAAGGTAAGAGACCAACTAATTGTATGAAGTGGCACATCACAACTGGAGCTTAAACATATGAGACCAACTCATTATCTGAAGTGGTGCATCACAACTGGAGCTGAAAGGTAAGAGACCAACTAATTGTATGGAGTGGCACATCACAACTGGATCTGAAACATATGAGACCAACTCATTATATGAAGTGGTGCATCACAACTGGAGCTGAAAGGTAAGAGACCAACTAATTGTATGAAGTGACGCATCACAACTGGAGCTGAAACCTGAGGGACCAACTCATTACATGAAGAGGTGCATCACAACTGGAGCTACACCACTAGAGACCAACTCATCATATGAAGTGGCGCGTTACAACTGGATCTGAAACATAAGAGACCAAATCATCATATGAAGTAGCGCATCACAACTGGAGCTGAAACCTGAGGGACCAACTCATTACATGAAGAGGCGCATCACAACTGGAGCTACACCACTAGAGACCAGCTCATTATACCAGGAAGTGGCGCTTCCTGGAAACATTAAAAGACTTAATCATCGTTACTAGAGGTGGTACATATCAGTATAGACTATTGTCTTGATTTTGTTTTGGAAATGATCTTTTGGTAGTGATAAGCAAATTGTTATAAAACTCAACAAAAGTTATTTGCCAGAACGGGTATGCACAACAGAGGTCCATAACACGAAATCTTTGCTTTGACTATTGTGCTAAATAATGACCAAACGGAGTCAAGGTATCTGTTCATTTGAACCTGAACCTTTTTAAGATCTATCAGTATATGTGCTCCAGAGATCAGACTTCCAGACGACCTCAGCTGACACTACAACTGCCTTTCTACGGTAACTGGGGTATCATTGGGTGTGGACAGCACCCGCAACTCATTCTTACACTTCATCATGAATGCGGAAGGTTATACTTTCCCTACTACTCGGAACATTCGGACCAGCAAAATACACCCCTATATCTACTGACCACATTCTTCACAGGGAAAGTCCAGCATAACATGGCTTTCTCAGAATGGAGCCCATATGACCACGGACAGTTGCAATGTGTAACCCATGTCCAGGCACCTTGGTCGTCTAGGTATAACCTACAATTGTAGGACATGCTTACATGCAGTCTAAGTCACCGTGACTATAGAAACTATATGGAGTTAAAGGAGCACCTAATTACACCATAATATTGAAAAAAATGATTCTGTCTGGAAAAATAATCGGCTTCGTCTAAGTGATGCGTCTCAACTGGATATAAATCATAAAAAAGAAGCTCATACTAGGAGGGGTGGCGCGTCTGAAACATATGAGACCAACTCATTATTTGAAGTGGTGCGTCACAACTGGAGCTGAACCTGGACTGGACTGGACTGGATTCTGGGGTTTAACGTCTACTTCACAGTTAATGTATTTCGTAGACAGGGTAGACTTTGAGAAGGCATTTGATTCCATTGCTTGGTCATTTATAGACAAATCTTTATCCTGTTCGGGATTTGGTGAAAATTTAAGAAAATATATACTCACGCAAAAGAAACGCAAGTGGTTTTTTAAGCAGATAGGTAACAAACACGGAACCATAAATTGATACGAGTTTTAGCATGTAGTGAAGCCTGATGGTGTTATCAATATTTTTGGTTGCATTTTGGAAGCCCCGATAGAAAAACGCAACATAAAAAACGAATCGCCAAAACGCACCATTTCAATGAATATGTGGGTATCATGGGCCGGTATCATGCACCCATTTCACCCATATATATAAAGTATAGCATAATGGGTTATATATGTATTACAGATAAGCTGCAATTAGGTATGGAGCCTACTAAAGAAAGAAAAAGGGAATAAGAGCCTAGCCTAAGTCTATAATCGCTGCGGTGGGGAGTCATGGTGGCGAGGTAGGGAGACGATTGATGACAGTGAGCGGTGTTATTGTGTCCTTGACATTGACAGTTGGCTGAGTAATTGATGTTCTACGTTAGTGTGGAAGACAGTTCGCGCTTGATTTTTCTATCCCGATCCTGAATGGGAACAAGTTTGCTTACATTATGAGATTTTAAAGCAGAGTTTGTTTGGGATGTTCTAAAATTTGTCCCAGAGTTTATCATTAAGAATGAAATTGATAATGGAGTTGTATTTTGCTGGAGGGTTGAATGGACTGAAAAGTAAGTAAATATTGTGCTGATAGTGAGATGGGATAGAGTGATATAGTTGAGAGTGGAAAGTGCTATAAAGTGGACAGTGGTTAAACATGTGATCTAGATCTTCGGGAATAAGGCAGTTTGTACAGTTACCATTTAGATGTTTTTTTGCTTAAATAAATTATAGTTAAAGATTTGTATTGCCACTGATAATACGGGATATTATTTTATCAAAAAGGTCGAATTGTTATAATTGTGGCATTTATAGATAGGTTTATGAAATAAAGTCTTAATCCAGGTTAATCCAGCAGAAATTTTGAATTTTGATGGATTGTTATATTTTAGATTTCAGCTCGGTTTTGGAAGTGTGAAAATCAATGGATGGGGATGTATGAGTTATGGCTATATTAGCTGTTATGTCTGCAATGTTGTTACCAGGTGTGTTGGATATGCCAGGTAACCTTATTATTATAAGGCTATTTCATGTAATTTATTAGTTGGATTTCTGTTACATGTGTCTATATTTGTGTCATGTATTTGGTCTATGTCTGTTTGTTTACATAGTTTTGTAAACAGTTGCCAGTTATCTTTTTTAAAATTAAATTTTATTTGCTGGGGAGAGTCCGAGGGGGGTTCAGTTGGGGTGGGTGGGTGTGTGGCTTTTATTTAATGAATTTTTTATGGGGCAGTGGTCGCTGCCCAAGGTGTCATCATGAACTTCGGCAGGATAATTGATGGGGCGGGGTCTGTCTTTCCGAATGATTTGAAAGCCTGGAATTTTGTAGGCCATTTTAGGGGACAGTCGTGTTTCCTGTAAAGCTACTAGTGGATTTTATTTTAGGCAATGAGGGCCTCAAGTTCATGCCCAATGGCTCGGAGACCATTGCAGTTCCAGTGTATAATCACCATGACTGATAGGGTAAGAAGTGTACTTATTAATAACATGGTGGGGGACGATTGTGACTAATATTTGATTTTTTTGGGGGTGGGGGTGGGGGGGTGGGGG